GGGTGGTTTGGGAAGAATTTAGAAATGAAGGGGGTGGGGGATGGTGACAAAAGAAAGCAGTAAAGGAGGTGATCTGTACACAAAGCAATGTGCTGGCTCAGCGGACAGCATGCCAAGGTTCTCAAGGACAGACGCCTGCCTGGGGCGCCCCCCATCGCTCTGACTCCCCACCCTGGCTGCTCCAGTCAGTCTCTCCGGGCCAGCGCCTCTACCAGCGGCCCTTGCCCTCACCCTCACTCCTTGGGCCCACATACTGCATCTCCAAACACCAGACTCTGTGCTGGATTCAGCAGCAGGAAGACAAGGCTCCTTTCAGAGAGGGGGTTTCTGTCTACATGCCCCTCTCAAGAGGAGAGCTCCCCACATGGGCCTTGATCAGAGGAGGGAAGAACCCAGCTCCCTGACCATTAACCCCAAATGTGAGCTGAACCCAGATCCCTAGCTTGCGAATTGGACTGTCCCCTCCCTGTACCCCGATTTCACTCTCCTATACGGCACTTAACAACAACAACAACAACAATCGGGTCCCAGCAGAAAAAAACAGGCTGTGTAGCCATCCCAAGCCAACCTGGTCCTCTGGGCTCTATGCTTCAGATTTTTAGAGGTACATTCTGAGCAGAACTCCACTTCTGCTGATATCCCTGCATCCAACCATGCAACGATACATCATTTCATCTACACACGCATCCACTTACTTACCCATCTGTCCACTCATCCATCCATCCATCCAACCTCCCACCTTACCATCCTTCCATTCATTCATCTGTCTTTCCATCAAGTCATCTGTATTTATCTGTTTGTCCATCCATCCATCTGCCCACCCTCCAAGAATTTACTGCATGAATTAGCATCCCTAATGAATCAGGGTCAACCAGCCTAGAAGGAAATGTAAGACCCCAACCAACTCCTTCTCTATCTCCCCAGCTCATCACACCCAGACCCTTGATGTTATGCCAACCCCATGTGAGACAGCTTCAACCCTAACTCTTCCAAGGAGGAGGCAAATGAATACCAGGCACCCTCCCAAATTGGGTACCCAAATGCATCCCCAAGACTCATTCTCTGCCCACCCTCAGCTTTGTTGGGGCAGAGATGGCCCTGTGGTGTTGGCTCTGATTTTCCTCCATTCCCAAGTAGGTCCAGACAATACATCTGGAATTTGGCCTTTGACCTTCCTCCTCTTGGTTCCCTTGCCTGCTCCCCAACTCCTCACTCTCATAGAGGCTGGGGTCCCAACCTCCAATCTGACCCACCCACTCACCAGACAGCCTACAACCTCCCCTTGGCTGCTCTAGCACCGGCCATTGCCCAGATCATGACTGGGCTAGCCACACCCTTGGACTAGGCTCCCACCCGCCCTAAGGAACCTCTAGAGGCTGCCTCCCCCAGCCCGGCCCGCCCTGCTGCCCGGCTCTCCAGCCAGCTCCCCTCCCCTCTCCTAGACTATTGCAACAGTCTCCTAACTGGTCTCTGGCTTCTGGTCCCCCTCCACCCACCACACCAGTCACAGAGATCTCTCTCCATCATGGAGTTCTGGTCTTCAGGGATAGCTCAAAATCTTACAAGCCAGACCCCAACCCCCTTTTGCTAGACTGTCTCACATACCTTCTCCCATCCCCTCTAGATGTTCCTCATTGCAGGCCCGTGGGTGGGGTCCTCTGCATTCTCCAAACACATCTTGAATGCGCCCACCTCAGGACCTCCCTGTGGGCTGTGCCTTCTTCCCATCATGCTTTCCTCCCATCTTCACTTGTTCCTGTCATGCCCAACTGTCTCAGGTGTGGCAGCAAAAAGGGTACTGAAATAAAAGTCAGGAAGCCTTGGTTCTAATTTCAGCTCTGCAACCAGCTTGTTCTGAGACTGCCTGTAAAGTTTCCCCATTTGCAGAAAGGCTTGCTGATTGATTTTCAGGGGTCTCCTATTTCTAGGGTAGTCAGTCTAGTTTCAAGGGGGAAAGCTGGATGGGTGAGGAGAGCAAGTGGGCTTTGGCTATATGCAAAATCCCAGTTCCATAGCATCACCCTGAGCAAGGCCCTACACTTCCCCTTCCCTACTGAGCAGCAGCCAGGGGGCAGGAACCTTTTGGGCCCTGGGAGAACAGCAGAGAGTAAGACAAAGGGGCCTGAGCTACTGGAGTAATTTCCTGGGGGCAATGTTGCCCACCCCCAGGGGGGCATTTGCAATGTCTAGAGACTTGTTTTCTTCCCTTAAATTTATTTTGTGTGTCTGGAGACATTTTGAATTGTCACAACTGGGAAGATACTATAGGCCCCTAGTGGATAGAAGCAAAGATGATGCAAAATCTCCTATTAAGCACAGACCAGATTCCTCAACACAGAATAATCCAACCCACAGTGTGGCGACATGAGATAAACATGTGACCTCAAAGTCAGTTTGAACCATAAGGTTGATGGTTCAAATTCACCAATCGCTCCTTGGAAACCCTATACAAGGTCTCTATGAGTCAGAACCAACTCAACGGTGGTTAATAACAACAACAATATCGAGGTTGGAAAAACCTGGGCAAGGGAGCTTCAGGACATAACCAAATCAATCAATAAGTAAATATATACCATACCAGATACACACACACACACATTATTTGTTGTTGTTATATGCTGGGAAGTCGGTCCTGACTCATAGTAACCTGAGGCTGTAAATCTTTACGGGAGCAGAAAGCCTCATCTTTCTCCCACGGAACAGCTGGTAGTTTCGAACTGCTGACCTTGCGGCTCGCAGCCCGATTTGTAACCACTACGCTACCAGAGCTCCTTACGCGCACACACACACACACACACACACATATAGATATAGATATAGATATATGAACAAAGTAGGAGACTAGAACAAGATCCATCTGGGGGATGGAGAGTCCTAGGGAAGATGAGCAGAGAGACTTGAGGGAAGTGGGTAGATATTGCAAGAAGAACAGTGTAGGCAGGGGACACAGCTAGAAGCAAAGAGCCTGAGGTAGACATGTGCCTGCCTGTGAGCTTAAGGAAGGCCAGGAGGCCAGAGTGACTGGAGCAGAGGAAGCAAGAATTTGAGAGGTCTGGGGCTGATCACATGGCTCCAAAGCCATGGCCAGACCTTTGTTTTTCCTCTAAGTGACATGAGACCTGGAGAGGTTCTAAGTAGAGGGATCTGATCTAATTCAAGTCTTTAAAGGACACCTCTAGCTGGTTGGTTTATGGAAAGGGATGGAGAGGGCTGGAGAGGCAGCCAAGGCTAGAGAGAGTCTGCAGCAGAAATCAGGACAGGAGATGAGAGTGGCCCAGGCTGATAGCAAAGTGGTAAGAAATGGTTGGATTCTGGATCTGTTAGGAAGGTGCAGCCAATGGGATTTGTTGTGAAATTGAACATGGGGTGTGGGGGAGAGATGAATCCACAATGATCTCAAGGTTTGGGGCCCGAGCCAATGGAAGGATGAACTGCCCCGTATTGATTTGCTGCTCCTGAAAGTGGGGAAGTTCTGTATGTTTCACAACCTGAACCTGGGGAGAAGGAATTCCTTCTCTCAGGTGCCTGGCTAAACCCTTATTCTTAGGCGTTTCTGCTGGTTGTTGATGCAAGGCCAGTCCAAACACTGTTAGGTATCCCCCACCCCACCCTGATTTACTCAGAAGACTAAGGAATATTTGTCTCATGCTCAGCAGCTGACAAAACACTTTTGCAAACACTGAATGACTTGATACCATAGCCCTGGGGAGCTGAGGGGTCAGAACATATTGGAGTGTATAAATAAGAAAAACAAAGGCCCAGAGAAGGTCAGTAACTTCCCCCAGGTCACACAGCAAATGAATGGTTAAGTGGAAAGTTGAATCAGGAAGTGGGGGAAAACGAAGGCTCAAAGTGCAGCGGATGTGCAGGGGTTAACCAGCTAACCAGCTCCCCAGGGACCATCAGGGGATGGGCTCAGTCCCAGGCCTCCTGGAAGGGCAGAGAAGAAGGCAGTGGCCAGGTCCCTGCAACAGGCCTTGGGGGCAGGGAGGGTTCTACACACGTGACACCGTGTCACATACACGTGTGTGTGTGTGTGTGTGTGTAATTATGAGGCCTGTGCCCATACATGGCCTCAAACTTGTTCCCTTACAGCCAGCCCCGGTCCCCCAGAGTGAGTGGGGGGCAGCCCCTCCCCCAGACACCCTGCCTTGATTGCAGCAGGAACTCAGAGAGGCATTCCCTGTTTGGGGGCTACCTCCTCCCCCTTGAAGCCCAGGTTCCCAGGCCCCAGGCTGAGCAGGGTGAAGGGAGGGCAGTCTGGGTAGTACCCCCCCCCTCCCGCCCACTGGCCCCAGGAAGCTTGGGGTGGGGGAGGGAGGCAGGGACTTCGTCTATAAAGAAGGAGATGAGGATGTCCCTGAGGGAGTGATGACGAAGAAGATTCCCACTGGGGACTTCATTTGTAAGGGCATGTAAATGCCACACCTTTTGATATGTACACCTTAGCATGTCAGAGCATGTTCCTGGATGGGAACGGGGCTGCAGGCCTGCGTGGGCCCACGGTGAAATCAAGGGTTTAGCATATCTGAGCCAAGGGACAGGGTGTAGGGGTGTCGTGCCCGCTGTGACTGAACTGGATCAGGATAGGTTTTCCCATGGTTGACAGGCAGTTCAGAGGTCGTGAGACTTATCCCGGTGTGATGAGGACCTGTGGTCCAGATCTGGGTCTGTGGGTCTCTGGGAAATGACCTCGGCCCTCCCCCGACTGCGTTGGACTTTTCGGAGGGAGGGTCGGGACAACCTTCTCAGGCGTCTTCCCTTCCCGAGGTCCAGTCTTGCGGCTCCTCACTGCCCCTCCCCCAGGACCCCCACCCCTGTCCCCACCCGCCAGCTTCCTGCTCCGCTGCCCCGGAGAGCTGGAGAGCCGGAGCCCAGGGCTGGCAGCCACCCAGCCCACTCCTTACAAGGCCAGCCCCGGCCGGCCCGCCCCCGACCCGGCCCCTCCCCCTGTCAAGAGCTACGGCGGGCCCGGCGCAGGCCAGTCGGGGGGCGTCGCGATGCTGCTACGCCTGCTGCTGGCCTGGGCGGCCGTGGTGCCCGCGCTGGGCCAGGCTCCCGGGGCCGCTGAGCCCCGTGCCGCCTGCGGACCCAGCAGCTGCTACGCGCTCTTCCCGCGGCGCCGCACCTTCCTGGAAGCCTGGCGGGCCTGCCGCGAGCTGGGGGGCGACCTGGCCACGCCACGGACCCCCGAGGAGGCACGGCGGGTGGACAGCCTGGTGGGCGCGGGTCCCACCGGCCGGCTGCTGTGGATTGGACTGCAGCGGCCGGCACGGCAGTGCCAGCCGCAGCGCCCCCTGCGCGGCTTCACATGGACCACCGGAGACCAGGACACGGCTTTCACCAACTGGGCCTCGCCAGCCACCGGAGGGCCCTGCCCTGCCCAGCGCTGCGCCGCCCTGGAGGCAAGCGGTGAGCATCGCTGGCTCGAAGGCTCGTGCACACTGGCCGTGGATGGCTACCTATGCCAGTTCGGTTTCGAGGGCGCTTGCCCTGCGTTGCCGGAGGAGGCAGGCCAGGCTGGCCCGGCGGTCTACACCACACCCTTCCACCTGGTCTCCACCGAGTTCAAGTGGCTGCCCTTCGGCTCCGTGGCTGCCGTGCAGTGCCTAGAGGGCAGGGGGGCCTCTCTGCTCTGTGTGAAGCGACCTGAGGGTGGCGTGGGCTGGTCGCGGGCTGGGCCCGTGTGCCCCGCGACTGGCTGCGGCCCGGACAATGGGGGCTGTGAGCACGAGTGCGTGGAGGAAGAGGCTGGGCAAGTGTCCTGCCGCTGTTCCGAGGGCTTCCGACTGGCAGCGGATGGGCGTAGCTGTGAGGACCCTTGCGCCCAGGACCCGTGTGAGCAACAGTGTGAGCCTGGTGGGCCACAGGGTTACAGCTGCCACTGTCGCCTGGGTTTCCGACCAGCTGAGGACGAGCCACACCGTTGCGTGGACACGGATGAGTGCCAGATTGCTGGCGTGTGCCAGCAGATGTGTGTCAACTATGTTGGTGGCTTCGAGTGCTACTGTAGCGAGGGCCACGAGCTTGAGGCAGATGGGATCAGCTGCAGTCCTGCAGGAGCCATGGGTGCCAGGGCATCACAGGACCTTGGGGACGACTTACTGGATGACAGGGAAGATGAGGAGGATGAAGATGAGGCTTGGGAGGCCTTCGATGGCGACCCAGGGATGCTGTGGATGGAGCCTACCCAGCTGACTGACTTCGGCCTGGCCTACAGACCCAGTTTCCCGGAAGTCCAAGAGCCACAGAGGCCCTACCTGGAGCCCACCTGGCCACCCCCACTCAGTGCCCCTCGAGTCCCCTACCACTCTGCAGTGATCTCTGTCACCCGGCCCATGGTGATCTCTGCCACGCGTCCCATACCTCCTTCTGCTCACCAGCCTCCCCTCATCTCTGCCACACGCCCAGCCTTGGCTTCCTCCCATCAGCCCCCCATCATCTCTGCCATGCACCCAGCTTTACCCCCTGACCACCAGTTCCCTGGAATCCCAGCTAACTATCCAGATCTTCCCCCTGCCCATCAGCCCCCCATTATCTCTGCCACTCATCCAGCACAGCCCCCTGCTCACCACCCCCCAATTATCTCAGCTAAACATCCTGAACGGTTCTCTGCCCACCAGTTCCCCACGGCCCAAGACACCCAAACTAACACCAATTTGCCTCAAATTCCAGCTAACCACGCTCCGATGGTCACCACCCCCAGTGCCCATGAACCCTCTCAAACCCCAGATGTCCTGGTGCTCAGAGCCCAGACTACCCAGCTTCCCATTACCCTAGCTTCCCAGCCCCTTCTGACCACTACCCCCAGGTTCCCTGTGCTCTCTGTGCCTGCTGCCAGCCAGCCCCCAGCCCTCCCTACTCCCCTACCCCCTCAAAGCCCCATGAACCAGACCTTCTCCAGTAGCTCTATACATCCCCGTTCCAAACCGCCCCAAGTCCCAAGAGAAGGTGCCCCTGACCCCAAGATTGCCCCATGGCTGTCCTCAGCAGCCCCAACAGTAGCTCCAACAGCCCTGGGGGAAGCCAATCTGGCAGGTCGAAGCCTAAGGGATGACCGGTGGCTATTAGTGGCACTACTTGTGCCAACATGTGTCTTCTTGGTGGTCCTACTTGCACTGGGCATTGTGTACTGCACCCGCTGTGGCCCCCATGCGCCTAATAAGCGTGTCACTGACTGCTATCGCTGGGTTACCCATGCTGGGGGCAAGAGCTCAATGGAACCCTCACCCCCCCGGGGCAGCCTCTCAGGGGTGCAGACCTGCAGAACCAGCGTGTGATGGGGTGCAGCCCCCTTTCTGAGCTGGGAGGGAAGGGATGTGCACTGGACACATGGCTGAGGCTGCACCAGGGACCCATAGGGGCCACCCATCTGGACAGAGGGCTACCTGGTCCCCCTGCCCAGCCAGGCACCTCTCCAAGAGCTGGGACTCAACTCTCCGGAACTCTGCTCATTGCCCGGCACTCATGGCAAAGGAGAGGCTGAGGCTCCAGGACCTCAGGGGGTGGGTGCTGGGTCTTCTCCAATAAATGGGGTGCCAACCTCACCCAAAACTCCTGGCCCCATTGGTGCCTGAGGGAAGGGTCTGAGAGGACACAGGAAAAAGGAAGGACCCTTCCTTCAGTGTGGCTGGGCCCCCAAGGAAATAAGGTAAGCCCCTTTGGGGGAGAGTATGCTACAGAGATTCTTGGGGAAGTAGAAACTCAGAGAGGGCATAGCCTTGCCCCAAATCATATAGTGAACCCATGGGGGAAATCCTGTAGTATTACTTCCCTTTATTTTATTTTTGTTTTGTTTTTAACCCAAACTCCAAAAAAGTCGGGATGCATCTAAGGGAAATTTCTAGAATAAGGGTGGGTTTTAGGGACCAAAGGCAAGCTCTGGAGCTAGCGATTATGAGGCATGAAGGGCTATTACTAAGACTCTCCTAACTTGCTTCTGGAACGTCTCTTAGCATCCTTGCAGATAGCCCAGAAGTAGAGGCTGGGGGCTCAGGGTCACCAGGTCACCAGAGGATGCTTCTTCCCTACTGGGTTGTAAGAGCCTGAAGGCGTCTTCGTTCTGCTCTAGGAAGGAGGTCAGGGCCAGAGCAGGCTAGGATGGGAGAGTAAGGAGACTTAGGGGAAATAACCCGGGCTGGGCTCCCACCTCCAGCTCCCCGGGCAGCATCACCGCTTTTCCTCCTGGACCACACTGCTCTTCTCCGTGTGGGCTGGGGGTGGTATGAGGACAGAAAGAACCCTGGAGATCTCAGTTGTGCCAAAGTTTAGGTTGCTCAGGGCTGAGGTGTCCCAGGAACTGCAGGAGGGGCTGGCCAAAGATCAAGCCTAGGGGGACCCGGCAACCTCCCACCTCTACCCGGGCTCGCAACCTTGGGAAGGGGGCGGGACCTGGGCAGGGGAAGCGCCGGTTCCCACTACCCACTCCTGTAATTTTTCAAGTTGCAGCCTCTCCCTAGGCCTCTAATTAGGACCGGGCAGCGCCGTCACGACCACCCGGACAGGGAAGGAGGGGCGGCTAGAGCCCCCTTTCCTTCCCAGAGCCTACGCCACCCTCTCGCCCTAGGCTGGAAAACTTGGGGTGGGCCTCTTGGGAGAGGAGAGGAGGTGCCGGAGCTGGGGACTAACCAGGGGGCCGCGGAGGGGGCGGAGCTATCCACCGCCCCGTACCACCCCACCCCCTGCTCTCACGATCTCCTAACTCAAACCAGACCTCTCTGCCAGATCCTGCCTAAGCTTTTAACCTCGCGGATGCCAACGAGGAGGTTTGCTGGCTGGGTATGGGGCTCACCTGCCAGCCCAGACGCCTGGGTCCTGGAAGGAGGTGTGGGCACATTATTGAAGGAAGGTAACAAAATCTGCAGAGACGAGAAGGATTCCTGGTAGGGGATCCAGGGCACCCCGAAGGCAAGAAGGAGTTAAAAGCACTGCAATTGGAGGCGAGGATGGGAGTGGGGAAGGGGGCCCGGAGTTGCTCTTTGTCATCCCGTAATGAGCACCAGATGCGGAGCTGCCTGCGGGCCCAAAGACAGCCTCCCAGGGAAGAGCCTCCGCCTGCGCGAGCCCGGCTCCGCCCTAGTGGGAGCGGCAGCTCAATCTCCGCCCACGGACCCTCATGTCCCGCCCATCGTGGCAAGGCGGAGGCAGAGCTATCAGTCCCGCCTCTCAGGGCTGAGCCACGCCCACCAATTTCTGTCACTATATCTGTCAAAATATCAGCTCAGATGGAGTCCTGGTGTGGCGCTGTGGAGTAATGCGCTGAACTGCAAAGTCGGTTTGAACCGCAACTGCTCCTCAGAAACCCTATACAGGGTCGCAATGAGTCGGAATCATCTCGACGGCACTTAACATTAGCTCAGAGATTTCTGCAGAACTATTTTCCCGCCTCTTTGGTCCATCAGCCCCGCCCAGGTGCTAGCCAGTCGCTAGCACCGCCCACCAGTACTATAAGCCCCACCTCTCCAGTTCGGTCTGCGCATATATTGACTCTGAACGTATGAACGTCTTCCAGAGTCCTTAACACTCTCCGCCCAACAAAACTACAAGTTCCGCCCTTCACAGAGCCTAAAACTGTCCACAAGTGCTGGGGAATCCCAACTTTGCCTCGCGAGAGACAAGCTCCGCACTCCGGGACTATATAGTTCTTCTCACTGTTCTCGGCAAGCCCCGCCCCCAGCTAAAGCCCTGCCCCCTAGCCGAGCTTCCAAAACCTAAGGGGCGGAGCCTAGATCCGCTGTGTCTGGAGAAGAACACCGCCCACGGACGGATGGTCAATGCACTTTTCCTTCACACTGAGGTCTTGGGCCGCCCGTTTAACGAGTCCCTCAAACCCCGCCCATGATAGCCCTTTAAGTCCCGCCCACCAGAACATCCCTCTGTGAGGCTTGAACACAAGGACCGCCCACTTAGGGAACGTAGTGCAAGGTCTTCCCCTAGGCTCCGCCCCCTGCAAACTTAAAATTTGTGCACCTTAGGCTCCACCTTCTTGGGTACAAGCTCCACCCCCTCTGGGGTCCTAGTCTGCCACTTCTCATCCTTGACCAGGACATCCCTGAACCAGGTGTTCTTCTTCCTCTACTCGGGCTCCAATTTATCCAGATGCTGAGTTCTCTGGACAAAACCCAGTCTGCCTCTAGAGTTCGACGGATGGCGTCTATGAATGGACCTTTGACGCCACCTGCCTTCGGCGCCTCGGACTTGCAGGCACCTGAACCTCACTGCCTCCTCCATTCCCAAGATAAGCATATTGATATTATTAGCTGCTTTCCAGTACGTGACGACTCTTGGCAACCCCATGCACAACGGAATGAAAAGAAACCACCACTGCCCCTCCCAAAGTCTACAATTATGCAATAAATAATGTATTAATTTATTTTAAATGTGTTTTACCAAATATCTGCTGACTCCCCTCGCATGTACTGGCCTGTTCCAATCTGGAAACCGTCTTATGAATTTTGCTTCTCAGGGGTTGCAGCTTAGCTCTGCTAGAACTCCTGGTGTGACCATCTTCCCTGAAGTGTGTGTTTGGCAGCGGTGGTCTCGGGCTCAGAGGTGAGCCTGTGGAATCAGATTCACTGCGTTTACCGCGAACTGATGGCTGCGGTGTCTCAGGATATACCCACCTCTAGCTCTTCTAGCTCACTACTTCATTTGAAAAGCCTCCTCATGCCTACCTTAGACTAGGGCTCCAGCTAACCGGAAACTTGACTGGGGCTAAGAGGAACAGCGCCCTCTGAATTAGACTTGATGCCAGCACCAGCTAGGTACTCATTAGCCCTGCAATGAGCACACTGGAGGTCCAAGAGCCCATAGCCACCTTCTGACAAATGCAGAGCTGCAGAGTACAGGATTGTTGTGCAACGCTGGTACCCTGAATGCTATGAGTGGAGCAGGATTTGGTGCCAAATAATAAGGAAAACTTATATGCCCAGTCCTAAAGTTCTAAAGGAGTCCTTGTGCAAAGTTGTGGGCTATTGTGTTAGACCACAAAGTCCGTTTGAACTACAAGATTGGTGGTTCAAGCTCACCAGCCGCTCCTTGGAAACCGTATACAGGGTCGCTATGGGTCGAAACTGACTCAAAAGCACTTAGTGACAATAACAAAAAGTTCTAAAGACCTTAGCTATATAAGCCCATTTAAGATCCAGAACAAGTCCCCTATGAAGTACTATTTTCATCACAAATTACAGTATTTTTATACAAATAACATGCCCCATCCACCTTTGTTTGCCAACTGCTCCCTCCCATAGGAGGTATGAGAAGGCTTCTAAAAGCTCATGTTGGCAAATGAAAGCTGTTTATTATTTACAGAAAGCAGCTTATTTTTACTTATAGATAACTTTGGCCAAAGTAACCTTCTAGAATCCACACATTTATCCTTTCTCCTCTGAAACCCCATGCTTCCCTGAGATGGAAACCACTGCATTGTATCCCACTTCTATTGACATCAATTCACAGTCTGAAACTCGTCCAAGGTACCCTCAGTTTCCCTTCCCTAGTCAGTTCAGACCCCAACTGTTCCACACAGCCCTTTTTATCACCGAGGACTAGTTCAGTGGGCATCAGGAGTCAGCTAAGGAGTTCACGTGACTCCTCATGCTTTAAATCAGTTAGCCCCACCTCCCCTTAGGTTTGGTCGTTTGTTGCAGACTCACTAATTCCTGGGAAAGCATCTTCTCTACTTCATCAGTGAAAGGATACAAACACAAAAGGATAAATGGACAAGATGCATGGGTGAGGTGTGGAGCTTCCTGTCCCCAGACATGCTATATCTTCAAAACTGTGGCTCCCCCACATGCAGTGTTAATATGAAACTCTCAGAAATTTCTGTGACCTAGGTCTATATTACGGAGCGCTGGTGGTGCTACAGGACAAGCACTGGACTGCTAATCACAAAATAGACAGCTCAAACCCACTAGATGCTCTATCGGAGAAACATGAGGCTTTCTGCTCCCGTAAAGATTTACAGCCGCTGAAACCCTAAACAGGTTCCCTGTGGTAGTGAGTTTGGATTGGGTTTGACTAGGCCTTTATTGACTCAATGATCAGGGTCTCTTTGCATGTGTGTGATAAATAGAAGCACTGAATATGTATAATTGTTTGCATCAAGCACTTTTTCCTTCCTGAAGTTAATCCTTGGTGTGGTCTGGGCCCGAAAGTAAAAGCATGTCCACTGCTGGCAAATTTCAAAGATTCTTTTTAGAAAACTAGAGCAAAGACCAAATCAAGTTCTTTTTTCAAATCTAGTATGATCAATTTTTTTTCCCAATACAACAATTCA